TAATCGAGGCGACACATTAAAGTGGTCAGTCATCTGAGAACTTGATATGACCTTAACTGTTGTGAAAACCACGAAATCCCGAAAAACATTAAAAAAAAACCCCCAAATAATTATTAATAACGCCTGAAACAGGTGGACCTCCAATGTTGTAAAGAAAACATTAAAATGGACATTGACAACTGATTTCCAACGTTATGTGCCATGGATTTTTTTTTTGCTTACGTCATTACCATTGGGGGTATTTTAGGAAACAATCTATAAAATTATCTCTCTAAAATCTTAACGATTTTTTTAGGCAAAAACATACACATCGAAACATTTAAAGAATATGTACATACATTGCAGTAATTAAAAAGAAAATACATGGCATTGTAACATGACGTTACATGATGAAATGCTTTAACTATTTATTATTGGTAATGCAAAATATTGTTCGTTGTGTCATTGATAATCGTAAATACGTCTGTTGCATAATAATTGATCCTAATTCTATTCAATCCATTTAGAATATCAAATTGACTATATACCCACTTTTACCTTGACGTCCCTGTTCAGGGAGTTAGTCCTTCTCTCAGTCGTGTATTAGTTATCCTTGTAGACTGACCCCCTATGCAGTTTCCGGGGTGCAGACTAACCCCCTCGGGCAATTACTTTATTTCTTCACGGAAGTGACCAAGCCTATAAAGTGAGAGGTACAATGTAGGCGAAGTTTGTGCTGACCTGACCCTACCCAGCTGTTATCGATTTTGAGCCACAGTGCAAACGAGATATAGCCCTTGATTGGTATACAGAAACTGCGGTTAGAATATAACATTTTTTAAATATCCATGCGTTTTGTACCGGTATCATATAAGGCTTGACCTTCATTTTGACGGCGTATGCGGTAGTATTAACGCAGTTGGCAACGAACATATTCTATGGTGCGCGTTATTGCGTTCATACTACCGTATTCGTCGTCAAAATGAAGGTCAATCAGCGAACAACTCTATTTTGTTTTCTTCTCATAGCTTTTAAATTTGAAATTAATGAATCTGAACAGCTGTTGAAGGTTCCGACAATGGCTCACTATCATTGAACTGTTATCTCGCTGAACCAGAACGGCACCATATTTGAAACATCATTCCGCCGAGCCTTTTTTCACAGTGTTTGTGCTAATTAAACGCAGCCACAGACTACTAAATTGAAGAAGGGAGGGATGTAAATATCAAATTGAGCATGGGGTTTCGAGATAAAGCAAGGTTTTGGTTCCCCTCTACAAGCGGCTTCGCCTTGAAATGGGAAACCAGAAACTTGTTATATCCCTCAAACCGATATTTCGTTTTCGTTTATTTGAACTACCCTATGGATTTCTCTTGTTTACTAATTGTTCCGAATACTTCATCGAACAGTGCCTGGTCGGTTCTTCTTCTTGCGAATAGTACTTTCATATTTAAAATACGTGGTTGTAATATAGTTTCTATTGTCAAGGAAAAATGTTCAGTGCACCAGACTTCGAATAAAAGATAGAAATATTGTATAAATACAGGTTCTTTTGGTTCCCCTCCTCCTATTTCCTCTGGCCCTTCTGATTTGTCTGCTTCATTTAAATGCACCTTTTACATGCCTAACAGATAAAGATATTTTGATATAACATGAAGCATACCTATGTCACAAAAAGAATGTGTACAGTGAACTCAATTAGTCTAGATGATATTAACGTCTAGATCAAAGGTCAAGCAGATGCAAATGGTTCTGTGAAATTTTGTCAAGACTGTTTTTAAACCAGTGATGATTTCTTGATAAGAATTTGAAGTGCACATCAATCACCAAACATGTGTACAGTGCACTATAACTAGGGCACCTCAAAGTCAAAGGCCAAAGAGGCGCAAAACTTCTAGTTAAGCATGCAGCACCAACAGAAAGTGTGCCTGTAATTAGGTCACCGTGACCTCCATCTCTAGGTCAGAGCTCAAGAAGTACAAATCAGATATATGTATTGGCAGATAAGGGGAAACATTTTGTTTTATTAATAAAACCGGATCTCATGTGCCGTATCCTACAAAGATATACATGTTGTTCCGAATGACAGACATATTTGTTACACCTGCCCGTATTCTGAAACTGACACGTTCTGTTAGTATTGTTGGTAACAAATGATAGACAGACTATCCAACACCTCTATTTAACAAGCAATGAGGATGCATTTTGTCTGATACAGACATTTTTGGTTTAAAGTTAATTGGATAATGCTATCATTATTTCTTGATGTCTTAGTGTAGCATTAAGTGCGTTTATTACCGTTATTACACGGGGTTTACAGAGCCGTGTGTGTTCGTACCATGGTACACCCATCAACACGTAGTGATTACCAACAGTGTGTCTCGCCTTCCACGGCATGGCTGCACCAACGTCTACCACAAATTGTCCGGAACATACCCCATAAAAGAGGTTATTTTAAAGTATATCTGGCCATTCACACCAAATAAATATCTCAAAGAGTTACACTGAAAACAAATATTATTCATATTGCACGGCATCAGCTATCACGGACAATGCGGGCTGCTCGATATTTCATAGGATATCATGTACGGGCACCCATCAGCCGGATGTGTGTAACATCAGTATCGATGTCTTTACATCGTTTACTTGGGTACTCCTAGGTCAACACTTATCGGGGATCTGGATATCATGCACGATTAAAATATTCACGTAGGTTTCAAGGGAACCTTGGACCGGATCACCTGGTCATCTGGGTGTCAAAGATGTTAACGACACAATTTATGGCAGATATGTCTATTTCAGCACTAGTACATTTACTCTGCATTTCACATTATATAGATAAAACTACCAAAGCTACGGTTATGACGTCATAAGCATAACGTTAGACGTAGCTGGATGATTGAAAATCGACCTCAAATTTGAAGAACAGATATGAAATTTAACTATCAGTTTATTGTTATATTCTCGTAAAAAGATACTGTAAGTATTTAACTGATATTTCTGCCATACTGTTTAGAATTACGGGATTGTAACTACGAACATGATGGGGTTCAAGCCTCACTAACATTACTGCAATTTAAAAACAAAACAGGATAAAACCACTGATGATGAATCATATTGCATGGAATTTAATTATATACCTGTATCAGGTTTCAATAATATACATTTATATATATCTAATCAAGGTCGCCTTCTAGCTTCGCGCTAAAGGGAATTTCCCTTTTGCTCAACGGATAAAGCGGACTGTGAAGATTCCAGGCGGATGTTGAGGAGCACTCACTGTTTTAGGAAACAAGGGCCTGAGTACAGAACATAAACAGCACGTACATTCTCCGCTCCGGAATATAGAACATCCAAACTTAGTGAATAGCTTCATGGGTGGAAACAGATAAATTAATCAAGTGTTTCCTCTTTATGACCCCCTCTCCCTTTGTGTGGCTATACATATAAAAAATGCTTATAATGATAAAATTAAAACGATTCATACGAACGAAGAAATATTTAAAAACGAAGAAACGCTCGACAACTCTTATTAATTAATTTCAACGTTTATGAGAGGTTCTTAACACAGTTTAATTGAAAGAAAAGTGGGACGTCATTATTTATGACGTCATCATATTGATCACTGGAGTGATATCCGTTGTGGGTACTTGCCATAGCGATGTCACACCAATAGGAAGATATGATGTATCATTAACTTAAGATAAAATATTGGTACTATTATAAAATGTTATTTACTATTGATGCCTTCCGAACAAAATGCATTTAGCAGACTCACAACTGTTTGTAATATCATTAAAAGTATACATTTGACTGTTAGCAAACAAAAAACGAAAAAACACGGACAGTCGAGGAATCAAACTCGGGACATTCACCTTCCTTTCCTGCTACGCTCCTAGTTTTGCTATACAGGAACCAATGTGCAATAGAAGCTAAATAAAAGATCAATATTTTGCTAATGGACACGGCTCTTCTGCAGACGAGGAACACTCCTAAGGCGAGAAAGACTTTCAGACATCAAGTGTACATTACCATAGTGAAATTCAACTTTAAAATGTAAAACTGCACAACTTCATTTTAATTTACAGAAATTCTAGCACGTCTGCAATGTATCGACGTTTTCCACTGGTCAACAACCTGGAATTATTGGACAACAGACAATGTGATTGCTTTATTAATACATGCATGTGCAACGCAGTTTCAAAATCTACCTCATCATTACATATTGATATCGTTAGCACTGCCAACAGATCATAGAAACGCAACGCGTCTTGTCATCAAAGTCTCATCACCTTAATGATCAGATAAACGTGTGTTTCGTTATATTTAGCATGTTAGAGTAGGTACAACCAACACGTGTTAAAACTTGATGAAGTGACGAGGATGCGGGCTAAGATTTTGGTTCCCGTGACAACCGCCAGGTTGCCGCAACGTATCGTGGGAAAAGTCAACCCTGTATCGTCCATTTTACACAACATAAGTATATTATGTTGGAATATATACGCGTTGATTTAAGAGCTTTGCAAAACTATCTCTCTGGTATTTACAGTGGTCTTTCTTGGTTAAACTGAAAATGTGCCCCACATTTTTGTGGGGTACAAATCCCATAACTGTACTGACTGCGCTTGATGACTTCTGAACAAGAAGAAATGATAAAGAAATCAATCGATCAAAAAGAAAGTAGATTTTGCTATTTGACTGGTAGCCATTGTTTTTTGTGTCGTATATTAATTTTAGTGTGTTTTGGTGGTTTTTCGTTTATCAATATTTCATATGAAAACAATATACGTTCAAAAATGAATCATGTTATAATGATACCAGTATTGCAGTAAGTTATAAGATACAGTAAGACTTTCCGATTGATTTCTTTCCATTTCTTTTAATCTGAAGGACAAGTAGGCGTTGTGGATAATGTAACTACGACGGAGGAGACCCTGGCGAGCCATGACTCATTGTTCTCAAACACCGCAACACAGGAACTCTACACGTCATCGCGTCATATAACAACTACAATAGCTGAAATGCAAACAGAATCTCAAACAACGAAGTTACGGAGTACGAAAACAACGGTTACAAGCGTTGCAACTCCAGAAGCAACAAACACAGAACGAACGACTATCGAACCAAAGACAGCGAATACGGAACCAACAACTACAGAACCAACAACTACAGAAGCAACAACTACAGAACCAACAACTACAGTACCAACAACAACAGAACCAACAAATACAGAACCAACGACAACAGAACCAACAACAACAGAACCAACAACTACAAAACCAACAAAACCAGAACCAACAACTCCAGAACCAACAACAACAGAACCAACAACTACAAAACCAACAAAACCAGAACCAACAACTCCAGAACCAACAACAACAGAACCAACAACTACAAAACCAACAACTACAGAATCAACAATTACAGAACCAACAACTACAGAACCAACAACTAAAGAACCAAAAACTACCGAACCAACGACTACAGAACCAACGACTATAGAACCAACGACTACAGAACCAACAACAACCGAACCAACAACTACAGAACAAACAACTACCGTACCAACAACTACAGAACCAACAACTACAGACCCAACAACAACAGAACCAACAACTACAGAAACAACAACTAGAGAACCAACGACTACAGAACCAACAACTATAGAACCAACAACTACAGAACCAACAACTAGAGAACCAACAACTAAAGAACCAACAACAACAGAACCAACAACTAGAGAACCAACAACTAAAGAACCAACAACAACAGAACCAACAACTACCGAACCAACAACTAGAGAACCAACAACTACACAACCAACAACTACAGAACCAACAACCACATACCTAACACCTACAGAACCAACAACCACAGAACCAACAAATACAGAACCAACAACCACAGAACCAACAAATACAGAACCAACAAATACAGAACCAACAACCACAGAACCAACAACTACAGAACCAACAACCATAGAACCAACAACCACAGAACCAACGACTACAGAACCAACAACTATAGAACCAACAACTACAGAACCAACAACTAGAGAACCAACAACTAAAGAACCAACAACAACAGAACCAACAACTACAAAACCAACAAAACCAGAACCAACAACTCCAGAACCAACAACAACAGAACCAACAACAACAGAACCAACAACAACAGAACCAACAACTACAAAACCAACAAAACCAGAACCAACAACTCCAGAACCAACAACAACAGAACCAACAACTACAAAACCAACAAAACCAGAACCAACAACTCCAGAACCAACAACAACAGAACCAACAACTAGAGAACCAACAACTAGAGAACCAACAACTACACAACCAACAACTACAGAACCAACAACCACATACCTAACACCTACAGAACCAACAACCACAGAACCAACAAATACAGAACCAACAACTACAGAACCAACAACTAGAGAACCAACAACTAGAGAACCAACAACTAAAGAACCAACAACAACAGAACCAACAACTACAGAACAAACAACCACAGAACCAACAACTACAGAACGAACAACTACAGAACCAACAACTAGAGAACCAACAACTAGAGAACCAACAACTAAAGAACCAACAACAACAGAACCAACAACTACAAAACCAACAAAACCAGAACCAACAACTCCAGAACCAACAACAACAGAACCAACAACTTCAGAACAAACAACTACCGATTCAACAACCACAGAACCAACAACCACAGAACCAACAACTAGAGAACCAACAACTAAAGAACCAACAACAACAGAACCAACAACTAGAGAACCAACAACTAAAGAACCAACAACAACAGAACCAACAACTACAAAACCAACAAAACCAGAACCAACAACTCCAGAACCAACAACAACAGAACCAACAACTACAGAACAAACAACCACAGAACCAACAACTACAGAACAAACAACAACCGAACCAACAACTACAGAACCAACAACTACAGAACCAACAACCACATACCTAACAACTACAGAACCAACAACCACAGAACCAACAACCACAGAACCAACGACTACAGAACCAACAACTACAGAACCAACAACTACAGAACCAACAACTACAGAACCAACAACTACAGAACCAACAACTACAGAACCAACAACTACAGAACCAACAACTACAGAACCAACAACTACAGAACCAACAACTACAGAACCAACAACTACAGAACCAACAACTACAGAACCAACAACTACAGAACCAACAACTACAGAACCAACAACTACAGAACCAACAACTACAGAACCAACAACTACAGAACCAACAACTACAGAACCAACAACTACAGAACCAACAACTACAGAACCAACAACTACAGAACCAACAACTACAGAACCAACAACTACAGAACCAACAACTACAGAACCAACAACTACAGAACCAACAACTACAGAACCAACAACTACAGAACCAACAACTACAGAACCAACAACTACAGAACCAACAACTACAGAACCAACAACTACAGAACCAACAACTACAGAACCAACAACTACAGAACCAACAACTACAGAACCAACAACTACAGAACCAACAACTACAGAACCAACAACTACAGAACCAACAACTACAGAACCAACAACTACAGAACCAACAACTACAGAACCAACAACTACAGAACCAACAACTACAGAACCAACAACTACAGAACCAACAACTACAGAACCAACAACTACAGAACCAACAACTACAGAACCAACAACTACAGAACCAACAACTACAGAACCAACAACTACAGAACCAACAACTACAGAACCAACAACTACAGAACCAACAACTACAGAACCAACAACTACAGAACCAACAACTACAGAACCAACAACTACAGAACCAACAACTACAGAACCAACAACTACAGAACCAACAACTACAGAACCAACAACCACAGAACCAACAACCACAGAACCAACAACCACAGAACCAACAACTAAAGAACCAACAACTACAGAACCAACAACCACAGAACAAACAACTACAGAACCAACAACTACAAAACCAACAACCACAGACCTAACAACTACAAAACCAACAACTACAAAACCAACAACCACAGAACCAACATCCACAGAACAAACGACTACCGAACCAACAACTACAGAACCAACAACCGCAGAACCAACAACCTCAGAACCAAAAACAAGAGGACCAACAACCACAAAACCAACAACTACAGAACCAACAACCACAGAACCAATAACCACAGAACCAACAACTACAGAACAAACAACCACAGAACCAACAACTACAGAACCGACAATTAGAAAACCAACAACTACAGAACCAACAACCACAGAACCAACAAAAAGAGAACCAACACCCACAGAACCAACAACTACAGAACTAACAACCACAGAACCAACAACTACAGAACCAATAACCATAGAATCAACAACCACAGAACTAACAACCACAGAACAAACAACCACAGAACCAACAACTGCAGAACCAACAATTAGAAAACCAACAACTACAGAACCAACAACTACAGAACCAACAACTACAGAACCAACAATTACAGAACCAACGACTACAGAACCAACAATATCAGAACCAATAACTACAGAACCAACGACTACAGAACCAACAACTATAGAATCAACAACTACAGAACCAACAACTACAGAACCAACAACTACAGAATCAACAACTACAGAATCAACAACCACAGAACCAGCAACCACAGAACCAACAACTACAGAACCAACAACTACAGAACCAACAATTACAGAATCAACAACTACAGAATCAACAACCACAGAACCAACAACTACCGAACCAACAACTATAGAATCGATAACCACAGAACCAACAACTACAGAATCAACAACCACAGAACCAACAACTACAGAACAAACAACTACCGAACCAACAACTACAGAACCAACAACTACAGAACCAACAACCACAGCACCAACGACTAAAGAACCAACAACTACAGAATCAACAACCACAGAACCAACAACTACAGAATCAACAATTACAGAACCAACAACTACAGAATCAACAAACACAGCACAAACAACTACAGAACCAACAACTACAGAATCAACAACCACAGAACCAACAACTACAGAACAAACAACTACCGAACCAACAACTACAGAACCAACAACTACAGAACCAACAACCACAGCACCAACGACTACAGAACCAACAACTACAGAACCAACGACTACAGAACCAATAACTACAGAACCAACAACTACAGAACCAACGACTACGGAACCAACAACTAGGGAACCAACAACTACAGAACCAACAACTACAGAACCAACAACTACAGAACCAACAACCACAGAACCAACAACCACAGAACCAACAACTACAGAACCAACAACCACAGAACCAACAACTACAGAACCAACAACCACAGAACAAACAACTACAGAACCAACAGCTGCAGAACCAACTACGGCTACAGCCATGACTCTCTCGACCACGTCAACAACTGTACCGACTACGGCTACAATTTTACCAACCACGGCAACAACAGCTGTACCGACCATATCTGTACCGTCTACGACTTCAGCAACTATACCGACTTCAGCAACTGTACCTCCTACGACTACAACTGTACCTCCTACGACTACAACTGTACCTCCTACGACTACAACTGTACCTACTACGACTACAACTGTACCTCCTACGACTACAACTGTACCTCCTACGACTACAACTGTACCTCCTACGACTACAGCTGTACCTACTACGACTACAACTGTACCTCCTACGACTACAACTGTACCTCCTACGACGGCAACAACTGTACCGACGACGGCAACAACTGTACCGACGACGGCAACAACGGATGTTCCGACCACGGCAACAGTAACTGTACCGACCACGGCTTCAACAACTGTACCGCCTATGACTACAACAACTGTACCGACCACGGCAACAACTGTACCGACCACCGCACCAACAAAAGTTTCAACAGCAGGCAAGTATTCTATTTAAAAGATTATACAAATTTATCAGCAAAAGGATAAGACATGGAATCAGGTGAGCATAAGCACAAATATCTAACCTGTCATATATATATATCACGAAACACATCAGGTATGTATAGACATGTATATGACATCACTTATACACAACTAGTGACGAACAAATCTTTCTGTACAAGGCACATTATTATTTATTTCAACAAATAATTCAATATCTACTGTTGAAGGAATTTCAAGAGAAAATGCTGAACTGGAAAGAATTGTTCCAACACAATCAACATCAACCAATCAAAACTTTGAGGCACCGACTTCTTCGCTAAAGTATATGCTATCATCTCTGTATTCAGAGACAACTGAATCACAGGAAACAACCGAAGTCCTGTCAGAAATTAAGCATGGACAGACAGCAATAAAGTCGACAACACAGTCAGCAACTACATTCGAGACAACAACAAAGTCTAAAACTGCATTTGAATCGACAACAGACTCTTCAGCTGCAAAAAAGCAGACAACACAGTCTGCAACACAGTCAACTACTCAGTCAACAACTTCAATAATGCCGAAAACGCAGGCCTCAACTACAGAAGAATCAGCAACCACTATAGATCCGACCACACGGCCCACAACTACGAAAGCGACTACACAGCCCACCACAACAATAGGAAAGGCAACACAATCCACAACTACAACAGAACCGACAATACAGTCCACAACAACGAATAAGCAGACAACACAATCTACAACAACACTTGAAGCGACAACACAGTCCGAAGCTACAATAGAACCAACATCACAATCCACAGATACAACACAACCGACAATACAGTCCACAACTACAAAACAACGGACAACACAGTCCAAAACTACAAAACAACCGACAATACAGTCCAAAACTACAAAACAACCGACAACACAGTCCAAAACTACAAAACAACCGACAACACAGTCCACAACTACAATAGATGCGACAACACAGTCCACAACTCCAAAACAACCGACAACACAGTCCACAACTACAAAAGAACCGACAACACAGTCAACAACACTGTCCAAGAATACAAAAGTACAGACAACATATTCCACAACTTCATTAGAACCGTCAACAGAATCCATAGCTACAAAAAAACAGACAACGCAGTTCACAACTAGAATAGAACCGACAATACAGTCGTCAGCTACAAAACAACCGACAACACAGTCTACAACTCCGAGAGAACAGACAGCACAGTCAACAAATACAAAAGAGCCGTCAACAACTTCCAAACAACCTACAACACAGTCCACAGCGACAACATCGACAACACAGTCAACAACTACAATAGAAACAACAAATCAGTCCTCGACTTCAAAACATACGACAATACAATCCAAAGCTACAAAAGAACCGACAACACTGTCAAAGTCTAGAAAACAATCAACAAAACAGCTACCTCTACCTTCAACACTACCTCCTATAACAACGGTACCTACACCACTACCTCCTACTACAACTGTACCTACATCACGACCTCCTACTACAAATGTACCTACAACACTATCTCTTCCTACAACTGTATCTACAACACTACCTCCTGCTACAACTGTATCTACAACACTACCTCCTACTACAACTGTACCTACAACACTACCTCCTACTACAACTGTATCTACAACTGTACCTTCAATACTACCTCCTACTACAACTGTACCTACAACACTACCCCCTACTACAACTGTACCTATATCACTACCTCCTACTACAACTGTACCTTCATCACTTCCTCCTACTACAACTGTACCTTCATCACTTCTTCCTACTACAACTGTATCTACAACACTACCTCCTGCTACAACTGTACTTACAACACTACCTCCTACTACAACTGTATCTACAACACTACCTCCTGCTACAACTATACCTACATCACTACCTCCTACTACAACTGTATCTACAACACTACCTCCTACTACAACTGTATCTACAACACAACCTCCTACTACAACTGAACCTACATCACTACCTCCTTTCACAACTGTACCTACAACACTACCTCCTACTACAACTGTACCTTTATCACTACCTCCTGCTACAACTGTTCCTTCATCACTACCTCATACTACAACTGTACCTACATCCCTACCTCCTACTACAACTGTACCTTTATCACTACCTCCTACTACACCTACTACAACTGAACCTACATCACTCCCTCCTTTCACAACTGTCCCTACAACACTACCTCCTACTGCAACTGTATCTACGACACTACCTCTTACTACAACTGTACCTACAACACTACCGCCTACTACAACTGTACCTACATCACTTCCTTCTACTACAACTGTTCCTACAACACTATCTCCTACTACAACTGTATCTACATCACTACCTCCTACTACATCTGTACCTACAACACTACCTCCTACTCCAACTGTATCTACAACACTACCTCCTACATCACTACCTCCTTTCACAACTGTACCTACAACACTATCTCCTACTACAACTGTATCTACAACACAACCTCCTACTACAACTGAACCGACATCACTACCTCCTTTCACAACTGTACATACAACACTACCTCCTACTACAACTGTTCCTACATCACTTCCTCCTACTACAACTGAACCTTCATCCCTACCGCCTACTACAACTGTACCTACAACACTCCCCCCTACTACAACTGTTCCTACAACACTGCCTTCTACTACAACTGTACCTACAACACTTCCTCCTACTACAACTGTACCTACACCACTACCTCCTACTACAACTGTATCTCCAACACTCCCTCCTACTACAACTGTACCTTTATCACTACCTCCTACTACAACTGTTCCTTCAACACTACCTCCTACTACAACTGTACTTGCATCATTCCCTCCTACTACAACTGTACCTACACCACTACCTCCTACTACAACTGTTCCTTCAACACTACCTCCTACTACAACTGTACTTGCATCATTCCCTCCTACTACAACTGTACCTACATCAATACCTCCTGCTACAGTTGTACCTACATCACTACCTCCTACTACAACTTTTCCTACAACACTACCGCCTACTACAACTGTTCCTACAACACTGCCTTCTACTACAACTGTACCTACAACACTCCCCCCTACTACAACTGTTCCTACAACACTATCTCCTACTACAACTGTATCTACAACGTTACCTCCTAGTACAACTGTACCTACAACACTACCTCCAACTAAAACTGTATCTAAATCATTACCTTCTACTACAACTGTTCCTACAACACTACCTCCTGCTTCAACTGTATCTACATCACCTCCTCCTAATACAATTGTACCTACAACACTACCTCCTACTCCAACTGAACCTTCATCACTTCCTCCTACTACAACTGTACCTACAACATTACCGCCTACTACAATTGTTCCTACAACACAACCTCCTACTACAACTGTATCTACACCACTACCTCCTACTACAACTGTACCTTTATCACTACCTCCTGCTACAACTGTATATACAACACTACCTCCTACTACAACTGACCCTTCATCACTACCTCCTACTACAACTGTATCTTCAACACAACCCCCTACTACAACTGAACCTACATCACTCCCTCCTTTCACAACTGTCCCTACAACCCTACCTCCTACTACAACTGTTCCTACCTTCATCACTTCTTCCTCCTACAACTGTATCTACAACACTACCTCCTCCTACAACTGAACCTTCATCACTACCGCCGACTACAACTGTACCTACAACACTACCGCCTACTACAACTGTATCTACAACACAACCTCCTACCACAACTGACCCTACATCACTACCTCCTTTCACAACTGTACATACAACACTACCTCCTACTACAACTGACCCTTCATCACTACCTCCTACTACAACTGTCCCTTTATCACTACCTCCTGCTACAACTGTACCTTCCATACTACTCCATACTACAACTGTACCTACATCACCTCCTCCTTCTACAATTGTACCTACAACACTACCTCCAACTACAACTGTTCCTACAACACTACCACTACCTCCTACTACAACTGTATCTGCAACACTACCTCCTACTACAACTGTACTTGCATCATTACCTCCTACTACAACTGTACCTTCATCATTACCTACTACTACAACTGTTCCTACAACACTATCTCCTACTACAACTGTATCTACAACACTACCGCCTACTACAACTGTATCTACAACACTTCCTCCTACTACAACTGTACCTTTATCACTCACTATCTCTTCCTACAACTGTATCTACAACACTACCGCCTACTACAACTGTATCTACAACACTCCCTCCTTCTACAACTGTATCTACAACACTACCTCCGACTACAACTGTACCTTTATCGCTACCTCCTACTACAACTGTACCTACATCACTACCTCCTACTACAACTGTATCTTCAACACAACCCCCTACTACAACTGAACCTACATCACTACCTCCTACTACAACTGTCTACGACTACAACTGTACCTCCTACGACTACAGCTGTACCTCCTACTACAACTGTACCTACAACACTTCCTCCTACTACAACTGTACCTTTATCACTACCTCCCACTACAACTGTTCCTACAACACTACCTCCTACTACATCTGTTCCTACAACACTACCTCCTCCTACAACTGAACCTTCATCACTACCTCCTCCTACACCTGTACCTACAACACTACCTCCTACTGCAACTGTATCTACAACGCTACCTCCTACTACAACTGTACCTACACCACTACCTCCTACTACAACTGTTCCTACCTTCATCACTTCTTCCTCCTACAACTGTATCTACAACACTACCGCCTACTACAACTGTACCTTCATCACTTCCTCCTACTACAACTGTACCTTTATCACTACCTCCTACTACACCTACTACAACTGAACCTACATCACTACCTCCTTCCACAACTGTACCTACAACACTACCTCCTCCTACAACTATACCTACATCACTACCTCCTACTACAACTGTCCCTTTATCACTACCTCCTGCTACAACTGTACCTTCCATACTACTCCATACTACAACTGTACCTACATCACTACCTCCTACTACAACTGTACCTACATCACTACCTCATACTACAACTGTACCTACAACACTACCTCCTACTACAACTGTTCCTACAACACTACCTCCTACTACATCTGTGTTTACAACCCTACCTCCTGCTACAACTGTACCTACAACACTACCTCCTACTACAACTGTACCTACATCACTACCTCCTACTACAACTGTACCTACAACACTACCTCCTACTACAACTGTACCTACATCAATACCTCTAACTGAAACTTTACCTTCATCACTACCTCTTACTACAACTGTATATACAACAATACCTCCTTCTACACCACCTGAACCCGCAGTAGAATCACCGAAAACAACTGTGACAGCAGTTGTTTCCCCTACCTTACCTGAGCCCACAATAGACTCGACGAAAACAATTGTGACATCAGTTGTCAGCCCTACACATCCTTCACTTATAACAGACTTGCATTCATCACCTGTACCTACAAAAGCCCCAACTACAGAAACAGCATCCTCGGAAAAGTCATCCGTGGTTAACCAACTTACAGACGAAACAAGCACTACATCAACACTTCGTGCGGACACGACAATACTTGACGGAACATATTCGTCAGTAGTCTCCACTTTATGGACATTGCCTTTAAACGCCACACATTCAGTTAGTGGGAATATCTTTACAACTCATGTTTCGTCGTCAGGTCATGGGAATTACGAATCGTCCACTACTCAAACAGCAAAAAGCACAGCTTCTGTAAACAAACCAGTGACATTGGCCGGTGGAACAGTGGACATTGAAGGTAAGAATGACGCAAAACAGTATGCATATATACGGTAGCGCACCGGTCGAATATCGTTATGTAAGTCAGCGAGCGAAAAGATTCAAACGGAACAATATTTAAAACAAAAGTAAATGACAAAATCAGCACCTGTTTTCAGGCGACATTGCTTATGATTGTACAAAGATGTGCTAATATCAAGTCTCAATAGGAAATTGTGTAAACAAATTTTGATACAGAGTTTTATTTTTAAACCAATTGTCTAAAATCAACCCAGCAAAATCAATCTCGACGATTTGCTTCAGGTTTCAGAAACGTCAGAGTTGTTTTTAACGTTCCGTGAATTTAATTTAAAACTCGAAGACCTGCAGTGTTATTTAATTTTTGACAGGATTTATCGCAGTTCCTTCACTGAAAAGTAGTATTCTAACAGAAACTTTGAAGTCTTGACTTGCAAAACATTTAATGTTGCCTATGGTATCGAGTGTACTCCCTTTGGTTTGATCTATGTTGGTGAACAAAACGGACAGTGAATGTTCGGCAGTGAACTATGAAGAAAATAAATGTTTATATCAGCATTCTCAACCAGCTCCATGACCATTCTTTTCTATCTATGACTGTCCGTATTTCTATTTTTTTTTTATCATCCAACCAATAACCCTACATATGAACTTAATACCCCTTACCCGAGACAACACGACATAAACCTTACACAAGACTTCTCCACAATGCTGCGCTACATGGATACAATGATCGTTTTGTTGTCTCTGTCATCATCTTATAGTCTGTAGTCTTTCTTTGGAAATAGTCTTTTTTCTTTGAAAAATGAAGGCCGAGGGTTTTTATTATGCTCATTGTTTTGTTATTACAACAATAAGACACTACGTGGATTCGACCTAGATTTACTTCGATGGTGTCTTCTTTGAGGCAGACGCCGCTTATCCTTCCGGCACACCTGGCCTTATTTTCTTTGTATTTTTCAATAGCCTCCATGTTAATTTTGGCTTTGTTCGTACTTTGAACCAGTTTATTGATTTTTAGTTCGATATATAGTTCTGTTGCCACTTCGGCATTATCTTGTTTTAAAATACAAATGACAAAGAAACACTTGTACTATATAACAGCTTTTACGGTTGTAGTTCAACAGACAAAATAACACGGTAAGACTAAGTGGCTTCAACAAAAGTAAATGTGGGTAAGAGGTGCAATTTTGAATTGACTCTTGGTATCTGCAACGAAATGGGTAATTCGGACTTCGGTTTGCAGCTGATACATAACTAATCAAACAAGTATTGCGCTTACAGAACCTCGTTCTCGTATACATCATTCAAAGTGTGAGTTACTTTTTATAAACATCTGAATATGTAAAATCGTTTTGTTAGTGCTACTTTGTAAACAGTTCAGTGCACGAATGGTGGAGAAGCATTCCCGTGTCCGTATAAAAAAAGTTAAATATTACGCGATCATCGACTATCGCATAGACTGGGACCAGGCACTCTGAAAACATAGCAAAAATCAAGCACTGGGTGTCTTGTGGGGTTTTCCTCCGTGGGCTATATCCGTGCCAAGACACATTCAGTATTGGTAGTGTATGGGTCACCTAATACCAAAGCTAAAGTGATCTATTTCGTTCTGTCTTCGTCCGTCGTCATGCGTCCTCCATTAACATTTTACATTTCCACATAAACTTAAATGCTACTAAAGGGATTCCATTGATTCCAACCAAAAATGTAGTTGACATTCCCTGGTTAATCTAAATTCGATATGGTTGTAATAGTTACAAGTTCAAATAAATAAAATATACAACATTTGATATAGCGCCCTATCTAGCTAACATAAGCCACTCTAAAGCGATTTATAGTACATAGATATACAATTTTATACAGTCAATACAATTAGCATTTATATTAATCAATACAATATTGAGGCATTAGCAGGAGCTGCCTTATCAGGCGCTAACTACTAGTCCTATGCCACCTGGCTAATATCTCCATATGTGTGTATGCCTGTCTGTGTGCTGGAGATGTATTGTGGAGATGTATTTCAACAAAGACTGTACAAAGTACCGTTTTATAATACATTCAGGTGAAATGGTGATGAACTTCACCATAAAGGCCTCGATATTTTATCCATGATTTTCAGTACTGTAAATAGACAAAACCACCGAATGCTAAACTACATGAATATAATTAGGGTAATGACTAAATTATGGGGATACAAAGTAACAATTAAAACCCGAAATCTTCACCATATTCGTGTGCACACATCTGGTTTTGCGATTATTTTTTTTGTCTATATCTATTCGTCAAAGTATCCGCTAAGATTATCAGCATCTTGTATCAGTAGATACTGGTATGCAAATTATTTATGGAAACTATTTCTTGAAGTTTTCCATAGTATCGGCATACGATCAGAAGATAAACTTTTTATTGTTATCTTTGTAACAGGTTCATCTGTGACTGCCCCGGGAACAGCGATTACAACAGAACACACGACGACGTCCTCATCACGGACCGATACTCACGTGACCCTTACAATGGCTAGCTCCGACCCGACCACGACAACTGGGTCCGACACTCCCGTAACCCTTTCAATGGCTAGCTCCGACCCGATCACGACAACTGAGACGTCTACCAACACGGTACCAAGTGTTTCAACAACAGTGACTTCTACTCTAGATACAACTACAGCTACGGAAACGACAGCATCAGTTACAACCCTTCCCGAAACTCCGGTAACATATCACCCGGAAACATCTACACCGGATAGGAATGTTCCAGAAACAACTTCGGCGGATACAACTGTCCAACACATATCTACGGCGATAACGAGTGTAACACCGGGATCATCTACACGACTTTCAACTGTCACGGAAACAACTTCAACAGCAGTAGCTCCAGCACCGTCTGCGGCGGTAACACATATTCCGGAAACAACTTCCACCCTGGAAGCATCAACAATGGCATCAACTACTTTAGAAGCAACTACTCCATCGGAAGAACCAACAACAGCAACAGCTGTTCCAGAAACAACTACGACAACGGAAAACTTAGCAACTGCGACTACATCTCTAAAAACAACTACCATAACGGAGACATTCACAAAAGACACAACTGTTCCAGAAACAACTACCCAACCGGAATCATCCACACAAGCAACGACTGTTCTAGAAACAACAACACCACCGGAAACATCAAGATCAGTTACAAAAACTACACATGATACATCCACAACAACCACAACTGTTCCAGAAACAACTACCACACCAGAAACATCCACAACTGTTTCGGAATCAACAACCACACCCGATACATCCACAAAAGCCAAAACTATTCAGGAAACAACTACCCAACCGGAAACCTCAACATCAACAACAACTATTCAAGAAACCACAGCCACACCTAAAACATCCACATCAGCAGCAACTGTTTCGGAAACAGCTACAACACCGAAGACATCCCGAACAGCCATAACTGTTTCAGAAACAACTAAAACACCGGAAACATCATCAACAGCCACAACCGTGCCAAAAACAACTTCAACAGCAGAAACATCAACAGCAACCACAACTGTTCCAGAAACAACTTCAACACCGGAAACATCCACATCAGTCAAAACTGTTACTGAAACAGCTACAACGTCAAAGACATCCCGAACAGCCATAACTGTTTCAGAAACAACTAAAACACCGGAAACATCATCAACAGCCACAACTGTACCAAAAACAACTACAACACCAGAAACATCCTCAACAGCCACACTTGTTTCAGAAACAACTACAACACCGGAAACATCCACAACAGTCACAACTGTTACTGAAACAACTACAAGACCGGAAACATCCACAGCAGCCACAAGTGTTCCAAATACAACTACAACACCAGAAACATCCACAGCAGCCACAACTGTTACTGAAACAGCTACAACGCCGGATAGATCCTCAACAGCCACAACTGTTCCAAAAACAAGTAAAACACTTGAATCATCCACAACAGCCACAACGGTTCCAGAAACAATTATAACATCGGAAACATCCTCAACTGATCTAGAAACAACTACAACATTGGACACATCTACAACAGTCACAATTGTTCAAGAAACAACGACAAAACCAAAGACATTCACAGCAGCTACAACAGTTACAGAAACAACTACAACACCAAAGACATCCACAGCAGCCACAACTGTTACTGAAACAGCTACAACGCCGGATAGATCCTCAACAGCCACAACTGTTCCAGAAACAACAACAACACCAGACACAATCACAGCAGCCACAACTGTTCTGAAAACAAGTAAAACATTTGAATCATCCACAACAGCCACAACGGTTCCAGAAACAATTATGACATCGGAAACATCCTCAACTGATTCAGAAACAACTACAACACTGGACACATCTACAACAGTCACAATTGTGCAAGAAATAACAACAACACCGAAGACATTCACAGCAGCTACAACAGTTACAGGAACAACTACAACACCAGAAACATCCTCAACAGCAACAAATGTTCCAGAAACAACTGCAACACCGGAAACAGCCACAACTGTTACTGAAACAGGTACAACGCTGGATAGATCCTCAACAGCCACAACTGTTCCAAAAACAAGTAAAACACTTCAATCATCCACAACAGCCACAACAGTAACAGAAACAACTACAACACCAGAAACATCCACAGCAGCCACACTTGTTTCAGAAACAACTACAACACCGGAAACATCCACAACAGTCACAACTGTTACTGAAACAGCTGTAACGCCGAGGACATCCCAAACAGCCACAACTGTTACCAAAACAAATACAACACCAGAAACATCAACAGCAGCCAAACTTGTATCAGAAACAACTATCACACCGGAACCATCTTCAACAGCCACAAGTGTTCCAAAAACAACTACAACACCAGAAACATTCACAATAGCCACAACTGTTTCAAAAACAACTACAACACCAGAAACATTCACAACAGCCACAACTGTTCCAAAAACAACTACAACACCAGAAACATCCACAGCAGCCACAACTGTTACAAAAACAACTACAACACCAGAAACATCCACAGCAGCCACAACTGTTACTGAAACAGCTACAACGCCGGATAGATCCTCAACAGCCACAACTCCTCCAGAAACAACAACAACACCAGACACAATCACAGCAGCCACAACTGTTCCAAAAACAAGTAAAACACTTGAATCATCAACAACAGCCACAACGGTTCCAGAAACAGTTATAACATCGGAAACATCCTCAACTCCTCCAGAAACAACTACAACACTGGACACATCCACAACAGTCACAATTGTTCAAGAAACAACAACAACACCGAAGACACTCACAGCAGCTACAACAGTTACAGAAACAACTACAACACCAAAGACATCCACAGCAGCTACAATAGTTACAGAAACAACTACAACACCAGAAACATCCACAACAGCAACAAATGTTCCTGAAACAACTTCAACACCAGAAACATCCACAGCAGCCACAACTGTTACTGAAACAGCTACAGCACCGGATAGATCCACAACAGCCACAAAGGTTCCAGAAACAACTACAACACTGGACACATCTACAACAGTCACAACTGTTCAAAAAACAAATACAAAACCAGAAACGCTTACCTCATCTGAAATATTCTCAACAGCCATAATTGTTCCAGAAACAACTACAACACCGGAAACATCTTCAACAGCCACAACTGTTCCAGAAACATTTTCAACACCAGAAACATCCACAGCAGCTACAACAGTTACAGAAACAACTACAGCACCAGAAACATCCACAGCAGCTACAACAGTTACAATAACAACTACAACACCAGAAACATCCACAGCAGCCACAACAGTTACAGAAACAACTACAACACCAGAAACATCCACAGCAGCTACAACAGTTACAGAAACAACTACAACACCAGAAACATCCACAGCAGCTACAACAGTTACAGAAACAACTACAACACCTAAAACACCCACAGCAGCTACAACAGTTACAGAAACAACTACAACACCAGAAATATCCACAGCAGCTAAAACAGTTACAATAACAACTACAACACCAGAAACATCCACAGCAGCCACAACAGTTACAGAAACAACTACAACACCAGAAACATCCACAGCAGCCACAACTGTTTCAAAAACAACTATAACACATGAGAAATCCTCAGCAGTCACAACGGTTACAGAAACAGCAACACCACCGGAAACATCCTCAATTGTTATAGAAACAGCTACACCATTGGACTCATCCTCAACCGCCACAACTGTTCCAGAAACAACAACAATACCAGAAACATCCACAGCATCCAGAACTGTTCCAGAGACAACAACCACACCGGAAAATTCCACAGCAGCCACAACTGTTTCAAAAACAATTACAACACCGGAAACATCCACAACAGCCACAACTGTTACTGAAACAACAAAAACACCAGACAGAAGCACAGCAACCACAAATGTTCCAGAAACAAGTACAACACTTGAATTATCCACAACAGCCACAAAGGTTCCAGAAACAATTATAACATCCGAAACATCCTCAACTGATCCAGAAACAACTACAACACCGGAAACATCTACAACAGTCACAACTGTTCAAGAAACAGCTACAACACTGAAAACATCCACAACTGTTCTAGAAACAACTACACCTTTTGACTCATCATTAACCGCCACCATGGTTCCAGAAACAACAACAACCCCGGAACCAGCCTCAACAGCCATAACTGTTTCAGAAACAACTACAACACTGGTAACATCCACAGTATCCAAAACTGTTCCAGAAACAACTACAACACCGGAAACATCCTCAACAGCTACAACTGTTCCAGAAACAACAACAACACCGGACACAAGCACAGCAACCACAAATGTTCCAGAAACAAGTAAAACACTTGAATTATCCACAACAGCCACAAAGGTTCCAGAAACAATTATAACATCGGAAACATCCTCAACTGATCCAGAAACAACTACAAAACTGGACACATCTACAACAGTCACAATTGTGCAAGAAACAACCACAACACCGAAGACATCCACAGCAGCTACAACAGTTACAGAAACAACTACAACACCGGAAACATCTACAACAGTCACAACTGTTCAAGAAACAGCTACAACACTGAAAACATCCACAACTGTTCTAGAAACAACTACACCTTTTGACTCATCATTAACCGCCACCATGGTTCCAGAAACAACAACAACACCGGAACCAGCCTCAACAGCCATAACTGTTTCAGAAACAACTACAACACTGGTAACATCCACAGTATCCAAAACTGTTCCAGAAACAACTACAACACCGGAAACATCCTCAACAGCAACAACTGTTCCAGAAACAACAACAACACCGGACACATATACATCAGTCACAATTGTTCAAGAAACAACAACAACAACATCCTCAACAGCCACAACGTTACCAGAAGCAACTACAACACCAGATACGTCAACAACTGTCACAACTGTTCCAGACACACCTACAACATTGAAATCATTTGCAACAGCCACAACTGTTCCAGAACCAAATCCAACATTGGAAACATTCACAAAAGCCATGCCTAAACTAGAAACAGCTACTGCACCGGAAACATCCTCATCAGCCACAACTGTACCAGAAACTCCAGAAACATCCCCAACAATTACAACTGTTCAGGTAACAACTACAACACCAAAAACATCCCAAACAACCACACCTGCTCTAGAAACAACTACAACACCAGAAACATCCATAGCAGCCACAACTGTTCCAGAAAAAACTTCAACCCCGAAAACATCCTCAATAGCGACAAATGTTACAGAAACAACTACAACATTGGAAACATCCACCAAAAACATGCCTGATCCAGAAACAACTACAACACCGGAACCATCCACAACAGCCAACACGGTTCAAGAAACATTTATAACACCAGAAACATCCATAACATCCAGGACAGCCACAACTGTTTCAGAAACAACTACTGCACCGGAAACATCCTCAGTAGCCACAACTGTTTCAGAAACAACAACGTCATCCGAAACATCCTCAACAGCCACACATGTTTCAGAAACAACTAAAACTCAAGAAACATCCACAGCAGCCACAATTATTCCAGAAACAACTACCTCATCCGAAACATCCTCAACAGACACAGCAGCCACAACCTTTCAGGAAACAGTTACAAGACCAGAAACATCCTCAGCAGACAAACCTATTTCAGAAACAACTACAACACCCGAAAGATCTACAGCAGCCACAACTGTTCCAGAAACAACAACAACATCAGAAACGTCCATAGCAGCCACAATGGTTCCAGAAACAACCTCAACAGCGGAAACAACAACAACACCAGACACAAGCACAGCAACCACAATTGTTCCAGAAACAAGTAAAACACTTGAATCATCCACAACAGCCACAAATGAACCAGAAACAGCTACAACACCGGAATCATCCTCAACAGATCCAGAAACAACTACGACACTGGACACATCTACAACAGTCAAAACTGTTCAAGAAACAACAATAACACCGAAGACATCCTCAACAGCCAAAATTGTTTCACAAACAATTATAAAACCAGAGACATCCTCAACAGCCACAACGGAACCAGAAACAACTGCAACACTTGAATCATTTTCAACAGCCACATCTGTTCCAGAAACAACTACAACACCAGAGACGTCCATAGCAGCCACAACTGTTCCAGAAACAACTTCAACCCCCAAAACATCCTCAATAGCGACAGATGTTACAGAAACAACTACAATACAAGAAACAACCACAGCAGCCACAACTGTTCCAGAAACAATTACAACTCTAGTCATATCCATAGCAGCCACAACTGTTCAAGAAAAAAAATTCTCATCCGAAACATCAACAGCAGCCACAACTGTTCAGGAAACAACTACAGCGCACGAAACAACAACAGCCGTCACAAGTGTTCCAGAAACAACTACCTCATCCGACACATCCTCAACAGACACAGCAGCTACAACCTTTCAGGAAACAGCTTCAAGACCAGAAACATCCTCAGCACCCACACCTATTCCAGAAACAACTACAACACTCGAAAGATCTACAGCAGCCACAACTGTTTCAGAAACATCAACAACCCCAGAAACGTCCATAGCAGCCACAACTGTTCCAGAAACAACCTCAACACCAGAAACGTCCATAGCAGCCACAACTGTTCCAGAAACAACCTCAACACCAGAAACAACCACAATAGCCACAACTGTTCCAGAGACACCTACCCTATCCGAAACATCCTCAACAGCCACACCTGTTCCAGAAACAACTACAACACCAGTCACATCCATTGCAGCCACAACTGTTCATGAAACAACTACAACACCAGAAACATCATCAGCAGCCACAACTGTTCCAGAAACATCAACAACACGTGAAACATCCTCAGCAGCAACAATTGTTCCAGAAACAACTAGAACTCCTGAAACAACCACAACAGCTACAATTGTTGAGGAAACAACTATAACACCGGAAACATCCCCAACACCGGAAACTTCCTCAATAGCGACTGCAGCAACAACTGTTCATGAAACGCCTTCTTCATCCGAAACATCCTCAACAGCAGCCACAACTGTTCACAAAACAACTACATCACCAGTCACATCCAAAGCAGCCACAAGTGTTGCAGAAAAACCTTCCTCATCCGAAACATCCTCAACAGCTACAACTGTTCCAGAAACAAGAGGAACACCAGAAACATCCACAGCAGCAACAACTGTTCACAAAGCGCCTTCCTCATCCGAAACATCATCAACAGCAGCAACAACTGTTCAGGTAACAACTACTACATCAGAAACATCATCAGCGGCCACAATTGTTTCAGCAACAACCAGAACTCCAGAAACATTCACAGCAGCAACAACTGTTCACGAAATAACTACTGCATCCGAAACATCCTCAACTGCCACAACTGTTCCAGAAACAACCAGAACTCCAGAAACATTCACAGCAGCAACAACTGTTCACGAAACGCCTTCCTCATCCGAAACATCCTCAACAGCAGCCACAACTGTTCCGGAAAAAACTATAACACCAGAAACAATCACAGCAGCCACAAGTGTTCCAGAAACACCTACCTCATCCGAAACATCCTCAACAGCCACACCTGTATCAGAAACAACTAGAACTCCAGAAACATCCAAAGCATCCACAACTATTCCTGAAACAACTTCAACAACGGAAACATCCTCAACAGCCACTGCTGTTCCTGACCAACCAACCTCATCCGAGTCTTCCACAGCAGCCACAACTGTTCTAGAAGCAACCACAACACCGGAAACATCCCCAACAGCCACACCTGTATCAGAAACAGCTTCAACACTAGAAACATCCACAGCAGATAAAATTGTTCCAGAAACAACTATAACACCAGGAACATCCATAGGAGCCACAACTGTTCAAGAAACAACTTCAACACCGGAATCATCGCCAATAGCCAAAACTGTTCCAGAAACATTTACAACACCAGAAACATCCACAGCATCCACAGCTGTTCCGGAAACAAAAACAACATCAGAAACATCCTTAGCAGCAAAAACTGTTCCAGAAACACCAACCTCACCCGAAACATCCAAAACAGCAACAATTGTAACAGAAACAACTACAACACAAGAAACATTTTCAATAGCCACAACTGTTCCAGAAACAACTGCAACACCAGAGATCTCCACAGCAGCCACAACTGTTCCAGAAACAGCTGCAGCCCTAGAAACATCCACAACAGTCACAATTGTTCAAGAAACAACTACAACACTGGAAACGTCTTCAACACCCACAACTGTTCTAGAAATAGCTACAACACCAGAAACATCCACAGCAGCCACAACTGTTCCAGAAACAACTACAACACGAGTAACGTCCACAACACCCACAATTGTTCTAGAAACAACTACAGCACCGGAAACATCCTCAACTGTTCCAGAATCAACTACAACACCGGAATCATTCCCAACAACCACACTCATTCCTGTTACAATGATCAAATCCGAAACTTTTACAACAGTAACATCTACCAAACCCGAACCAACAACAACAGTTACAACTACCGCACCCGAGCAATCTACGACGAGAAGAACTTCTATACCCGGACCAACTGCAACGGCATCAATTACCACATCAGAACCATTAGCGAAGGTAACAACTGTTTCGGTCACCACTGCAACCCCGGAAGTAATAACAAAATCAGTTCTGGTAACAACTCCTACGTCAGAAACATCTACAACGGCAGCAACTGTTTTTGAAACAACTACCACACCCGAACCGTCTACAACGGAAAGAACTACAACATTGGAAGTTTATACAACGGCAGAAACTGTTTCGGAATCATTTACCACAAATGAACCATCTACAACGGAAAGAATTATAACATCAGAAGCATTTACAACTGCAGCAACTGTATCGGAAACAACTACCACACCCAAACCGTCTACAACGGAAAGAACTACAACATCGGAAGTATCTACAACGACAGCAACTTTTTCGGAAACAACTACCACACCCAAACCGTCTACAACAGAAAGAAATACAACATCAGACGCATCTACATCGGCAGCAACTGTTTCGGAAACAACTACCACACCCGAACTGTCTACAACAGAAAGAACTACAACATCAGACGCATCTACATCGGCAGCAACTGTTTCGGAAACAACTACCACATCCGAACCGTCTACAACGGAAAAAACTACAACTTCGGAAGCACCAGGAACCACTTCCCTGGTGGCAACCACAAAGGCAGTGACTAAATTACCAGTTACTAGTGAATTTATCACTACTGAAGCAGTGACGAATGAGCCAGTGACAGACACTTTAGGGACAGCAGGGCTCAATTCATCTGGAAATAATGCAACAGGTAACTAAATATTATTTTAAACTTTTGCAAAAGTAAAGAACATAAATTTTACCAAATCAAGTTAAAAGAATATCACTGAAAAATGTATATCCAAGAATAATTTCCTGCATGACATCACTTGTTTTTCGTGCTTTGTAGTGACTGATATTTACATCTTCTAACCACATTTTTTTTTAAATTCATTTATTTGCGATGTAGTAACTGGACCAGATGTTTCCGTAGTAATAGCCGATACTACCTCTCATATAACACAGGAGGCAAGCACTGTAACAACGTCAGCTGGACTGTTAATAGACCCCACACTATCAGATACAAGTTCTACAAATACTCAAAGTATCACCACTACAGATACACCGGAATCATCCTCTAAAGGTAAGTGTTTCTCTTTTATCTCTTCTTTTTCTCAATGTAAATATAAATCAACTAATAGCGCATTCTCATACTGATAAGCAAAATATAATCATACTCCTAGTTAACCAGTACATACAGGGCAAAGTATGAGTTATCACTGTAAAATGGACAAAGATGACCATACAAAGACACTTTAAAATCACACTGTACAAGGAACACTTGTGCGAGAAATAACAACGGCATCGGTGATCATTTTCAAGGAACAACCGTAACAGAAATAACAATATAATCGGTTATCACTGTCAGGGAAAACCGTGCAAGAAATAAAAACAGTATCGGTGTCCATTGTACAGGGATCAGTCGTGCAAAAAAAGGTAAAGTATCGGTATCAATGAACTGGAAATAAACGTCCCAAAAGTAGCAATACTATCGGTTATCGCTGTCCAGAGAACAACCATGTCAGTAACAGCAAAGGTATCGGTTATTATTGTATATTGAACCATAGAAACTGTAACTATTCCAGAAAAAATGTCGGAAACGGTTCAAGAAACAAATGCTCCGGTAGAAATCCCAACTTCATCTGTTCCAGAAATAACAAGACCGGTTTTATCTTCACCACCTACAACTTTACCGATTACAACCATAACGGATACAACTGTCCAAGAAACAACTACAACGGTAGCAATCCAAACGACTATATCTGCCCTAGATGCAACAACTCCCGTACCAACCACAACAGAAATAACTTTCCCCCAAGTAGAAATAACTGTAACAACTGTTCCAGAAATAATTACACCGTTAGCGCTCACATCAACTACATCTGATCAAGAAACAACAACACCGGTAGCAACCACAATAGCTACAACTGGGTCAGAGGTAACCGTTCTAGAAACAACTGGGCCGGTAGCAACCACGACAACTGCAACTGTTCAAGAAAGAACTTCACCGATAGCAACCACAATAGCTACAACTGGGTCAGAGGTAACCGTTGTAGAAACAACTGGGCCAGTAGCAACCACAATAACTTCAACTGTTCAAGAAACAACTTCACCGATAGAAACCACAATAGCTACGACGGGACCAGAGGTAACCGTTCTAGAAACAACAGGGCCAGTAGCAATCACAACAACCTCAACAGTTCAAGAAACAACTTCACAGGTAGCAACCACGATAGCTACAACTGGACCAGAGGTAACCGTTGTAGAAACGACTGGGCAAGTAGCAATCACAACACCAGCAACTGTTCAAGAAACAACTCCACAGGTAGCAACCACAATAGCTACAACTGGACCAGAGGTAACCATTCTAGATACAACTGGGCAAGTAGCAACCACAACAACCTCAACTATTCAAGAAACATCTTTACCCGTAGCAACCACAATAGCTACAACTGGGCCAGAGGTAACCGTTCTAGAAACAACAGGGCCAGTAGCAACCTCAACAACCTCAACAGTTCAAGAAACAACTTCACAGGTAGCAACCACGATAGCTACA